CCCCACACACACACACACACACACACACACATCCTACCTTCATGAAACACAGACATGGGGCCTTTTAAACTTCACCTCCGCTCACCTCTTTAACCTGGAGACTGAAGATTTTCTTCCCATATATACTTTTGAATTCCATCCTGAACAAAAACATTTTTAATTATTGGCAAAATAAAGAGTTTGTGGATATTCAAGGCCCGTTTAGACACATGCTTTCAATGCACAGCTTGCTTTTTTTAAAAGTTTTTTTAAATGTGGCCATAGTTAAGTCACCTTGGATAAACAAGGCCAGATTTTTTTATGCACACAATCTTGAGGTTATTCCTGTATCCACAGCAGCACTAAATACAAAAGATGCATCCAAAATCTTTAAATCTCACGCCTGTAAGTGCATTTTATCCTGTTTGTGTTTGTTTTTTAATATGTTGTAGTGCACCCTGGGCGTGTTGACTGATAACTTGCGTGATAACTTGTAGAAAACGGCCCACTTGTTCTTTCCTCACTTTTGGAACTAAAGTACGGGACAATGCTAAACTTTTTAATAACGCATTTAGTTTCAGTTCAGAGTGGAAGCAATTATAACCTCCTGACAGTAAAAAAAAAAGCAGATGAGTGTTTGTAGTGGTCCAGACTGCACTCAGTGGTCAGTGTCCTTGATTTTCTTACAGTTGTTTTTCAGACTCAGCAGCAGATCAAAGCTCTGAGCAGCATAATCAGAATGGGCTTGAATCAAAGACAAATAAACAGGGTAAAAAAGGACAATAGGCCGTGAGATATAATACAAAACACAATCGTGATTTTTAGATTGCTGGAAGGCAGCTTGGTTTCATACATTTGACAGAATTGCTTTTTTACAACCTGAGTACTGTTTTCTGGGTTTTCACCATCAGTCCAGTTGGCTATGGTGACATTTTACTCACCAACTTTTATAGCTACGATCAGCAGGACATGAGGTGCACAAGCGCTCGGGCAGGTTCAGCTTAACACAAATATCTTTACATGAAAATAAATGTACAAATTAACTACCCAAACTGTCTGATGTGACGTTCCTTCTAATATGAGAAGCCGCCTAGGCCAAAATTGAATACTTTGCTTGCACATACGTGCGAGTTAGAGTATGAATATGTTTGAGGGGAGGCAGGGTGGGATCCGTCATACAGTTGTTAATGCTCTTGCCTTTGGCATGGGAGACCTGGGTTTGATTCCCACTCATCTGACATTGCAGCAGGTCTGGGGATTATTGGGACATGATAACATTCTTGGTCAGATGCAGTGAGTGGGAATCGATCCCTGGTCTCCCACACGAAAGGCAAGACATTTGCGCACATCTATACATACTCACTTATGCACGCATACTCACTCACTCTCACCTCTACTACCTGCTGATGTTTGATTATCATATTATAGAGATTCAGCTTACTATATGTCGCCTCGCGTGTCACCTGAGCTCCTTCTGACCACACCCACAGAGGTTTAACAAACTATGAAGGGAGTTCAACTTCAGTCAGATTTAACTCGGTTATCAAGGAAAGTCTAAATAAAATTGTGGTGTGGGGGTTGTCAAGGAACCACATGGCTTTACTTTGCAAGGCTGCAGCATCCCACCACAGACGCTGCTGCTTGCAGTGGAAAATCTAATTTTACCACCCAATTGGATTTAGCAATAAGAAAATGCTTTCAGCTCACAATCATTACATTACCATCTGCATCAGGTCTTTCGAGACATTGACGTGGATCGGACCAATTCAGTAGAAAACAAGTGAGTGATTTGTCGTTAATAGTTCTCATCATTAACAAGGAATACAGATGAACATGAACAACATTTTTACAGCATTGTAGGAAAGTTCCCTTCTTTCTTCACCCTTCACCCCTCACGCATCAACCCCTATGGTAGAGAGGACGAAATCTGGTGTTTCTCAAGACCACTGCGAGGCTAAAAACAGGGGAACATTTGTTTGCAGGCAGTTTAATATTTTGGCATAAGCTACAGTACGAGATTTTTAAATGCAGAACAGCGCAGGCTGTTGTTTAGTGGCTGCCTGGACTCTGGCCTTTCTCAATGTGAAGGTTTCTCACTTCAGTCCCAGCAGAGATCTCCGGAGACGCCGTAACAAACAAAGCTTTGTCTGAGTGTAGCACGTCTGCAGTTGGACGGCCAAAAGATTTTGAAAAGGACTCCGCTCTGGTGGATTATTATCTCAATTGCTGCAGAGCGAGGACAGCTGCGTGATTGGGCTGTTTTGCTGACAATTATTAAATGATCCAAACTGAGGAGCTCAGTGTGGAAATATCTTCACCCTAACAATTGAACTGATGCGTCTACAAACATTTTTAGACCTTCTAGCTGGTGCTCTAAACCCTGCAACACAAGTCTAGATAGTTACTATTACTTCCACTCATAAGGAGAATATGGAACAAAGACGTACACTACCGGTTTTAGAACAGCAGACGTACAAAAATTACAAATAATTAACAATTAAATGAATGAGATTTGTTCATTATTTCACTGCAGGATCGACTGATGACCAGCTGCTCTGTCTTCCTTCTTTAATGTTATATATAACGTATAAAATATAGTACAAATAAAGTTCTGGAGGGTGGATTAACATGCTGTTTCGAGGTGTTTACACAGCGGGACACCTGTAGAAATGTGTTGCATAAACTTTCAAGGCTTCATTTCCTTCCACTGCTGCAGAATAACTTGGCGTTGTTAACTCATTACTTGATCCCTGTAAATTGTATCTCTCTGAAATTTATGTTATGGCAGAAAATTGTGTCCTCTTACATTTAATCTTTTATGTATCTTTTAATATTATCATACTACACTCATTATGCTAGTCCGTCCACATTTACTAGGGTTCAGGTCAGAGCTGCGAGATTGTTTTGGTGTTTTCCTCTCTTGTTGTTCTTCTCCTCTCCTGGAATGTTCATTCAAGGCCGAGAGAGGATCTCTGATCCCCAAAACATAGAAACCTAGACTGTGTAAATTGTGATGCATCCCTTTGCTTGGGGCAAGACGCCCTAGGCGGCAGGTCTCTGGACCGGCTGGATATGTGTTTTAGTACTTCTCTGAAGAATTTATTAACAAAAGACAATAAACGAAGACAACGGTTGGTTGTTACTTAATTGTTTAATCCCTCACCAGCAAGACACAATTTCCACAATAACTGTCTTTACCTTCTTTAGTTATTCTGCAGCAATGGAAGGAAATGAAGCCTTGAAAGTTGTTTTTTTGTTTGTTTGTGTCAGTGGAGAATCCTAAAAATAAGCATGTCTAAAATCCAGAAAAACCCAAACTTAAATTTGCTAAATGACGTCCTCATGTTATTGTGAAGAAATCAGTTTATTCTTCAATTAAATTACCGCAAGCAAGTTGAGACTACTTAAAAAAAAAAATTCAGTAGCCTTTTGCTCATTTTTCTATAAAAATGCATTTCCCAGAAAGCCAATGTTGTTGCTAATGTGTTAATTTTGAGCCAAGAACGAAACTGGGATGTTTACTATGAACGAAACTGAACATCGCCTCGTCTAAAGCTAAACTGCTGATGAACACTGAGACTCCAGTCTTTTCATTTAATGAACACCACACCAGATTGAAGAAGCACAATTTTGTTTTTTTTATTTTAGTTCCCAACCTGCTATTTTGCCTGAACTGAACGCCAAATGTAATGTCACTTGGAGTTTACCACCAGCCAAATATCACGAGTGATGCTTAATAACCGCCCCATGGAACTGAAGAAATGCAGTAAAGTTAATTATCACTAAACTTTCCCAAGAAATTTACATTTGTAGGATCCAGATTATACAAAATCAAATGTGCGATTAATGTTTGGCACCAACAGTTAATCATTATTGATGAACAAACTAAAGAGTCCAACACCCTAGGATATCACATTTTTATGTCAATAACACACTCAAGGAACTGGAACCAGTAAATGTTTCACATTTGTTCTTGATAAATGACTTAAACAATCGTTTTCTGCATCATTTCATGTCGTATTCTGGTTGGTCGCTGATAAGAGGTTGCGGTCGCACTGGGAGAACTTAGTCCTGAACTTGTCACTCAACTCTTTGTTCGTCAAAGCTCTGAATCCGTCTGAGCGTCTCGGTGTATTCCAGGACCAAAGTTTATTGATAAACACAAACCTTTTTAAGTTTAAGTAAGAAAATCAGGTATTTAACTTTCAGTTTGTAGTTTTTAGTTCTTCATTTGAAAGGAGGACTGCTTTTATCCGTCTAACTTGACACAGCATCCGCTTCGCCGGAAGACTCTTCCTGGGCGTCCTTAAGAGTCCTTCTCTCCAGGAGATTGCGGTTTTAAGATTCCTTAACTATTTTCTTGAGGTTTTACTTTCACAAAAGCTTCATTTCATTGTCGTGCTGAAATCTCTGAACCAGAAAACAACCCCCTCCTCCCTCCTACTGGAAAATCATCCAGGGTGCCGTCACTGTGGCCGTAGATTTGTTCTGGTGCTCTTTGTCGGTGCGGCGGCTCCAGAAAACATCTCCTGACGGCATCTTGGCTCTGCTCTTTGTCTTGTGCAACAGTTTAACCTACATGAATGGTGTCTGAACTGTTGACCTCTGCAGTGAACAGCAACACTGGGAAATATTTCTCAGGGGTAAACCGTGACAGACATTTATAATATGGTGTTACACTAGTTCAAAATGTGTTTGGAGCATTTTTAAAAGAAACCCTTCAGATCTGCCGGACTGCTTTATTGTTCTGGACACTTTTTAACAGTTTGTCAGTGACTGTTAATGATTTCAACCGTGACTGCATGAGTCATCTGCTGCTAATGAAGTGACATGGTCGCTGTTAGATGTTAAAACTCCACTCCAGATCTAATGTTAAATTTTCTTTGGCTCGTCACACTCGGTCTAAAGGTTCACTCAGCGGATGTCTTTGTTGACTGTGTTTCTTTCTCCACCAGAGAGACGAGCTGAAGTGTCCGTCTCTTCCCAACTCCTGCAGCTGTACCTCAGCGGGCACCGGGCTGCCAGGGACTCAGGGACCGGTGGTAAGAGTCCCCTGAATCCGTCTTTCTGATTGCCTGTCTGTCCTAAAAAACATAAAAACATGGTCTGTAACTTGTTATTGACAGAGGCAGGGGGTCACTATAAGTTCAGCACAGTTATTTGAGTATTTCCATTTTGGATAAATTTTCTTCACTACATTTCAGATTCAGACTTTTTTATTTGACAGCTCAACCATGTCCTCTACAAATAGTTAGTTTTAGTTGATACACTATGTCTGGATTATGTTTACTGTCTTAGACCTCAATGAATCTTAGGTGGCCGTGCAAAGTGCAGGACTTTGTCCCACTTGTTTTCAGGTTTAGGCACTCTCCCCGTAACACTGTCAGACTCTAAGTATCAGAATCGATGCAGCAGAACCAGAGTGAGTGTCTTTTTTTGTTTGTTTTTATTCCACATTACCCAGAGTGCGACTGGACCACAGACAGTTGGGTGGGAAATTGTGGTTTGTAATGCTAGTAGTGGCTAATGTAGCCTTTAGCCTGCAGCAGAGATGAGCAGCAGCTACACAGAGGTCTTCAATCAACGATGAAGTGACATCACTCGAGGACATTTATTTATCACACAGCTCCCTCTGAGACAATAAGAGCAGTAGATATGCGTTAGAACTCTCCAACACCTTGAAGCTCACTTTGATGTAGCGCTGCAGCTATCTGTTTTAGTAATCGAGTATTCTGCCGATTATTCCATCGATTCTTCGAGTAATCGGATAAGAAATACTTTTACTTGGCGCCCCCTGGGTACTATATCTATACTAATATCACTGTAATGTTACAACCCAAACTCCCGGACTAACCAGTCAGAGAACAAAAACAACAAATGCATGTTTATTACAACTAAGAACTTGTCGTGTTACCGAAGACACGCTGGACAGAGTTGAGGTTTTCTTTTAGCCTGAAATAATCCCAGATCTCGGGCACGTTCTTTTTCTCTGGCCTGTCTCTTTCTCGTCCCTCGCTATTTTCTCTATCTTCCTCCATTTTGCAATCACGTCGCCTTCACTTGCCCACAGCATAAGCGCAATGTGAGTCAATAATAATAGTCTGTGCGAAACGGTGCGCTGTGTATAGGTATATGGATTCAACGAAGCTTTGCATCTATGCTTTTTAGTAATTATAATAGTTTCCCTTTGAGGAAAGATTGTGTTTTTTGTTGAAATATTGAAAGCGTTGACTATTTTAATTATTTAATAATTTCCTGAACCTTTAATCAAGTGCTTTGAATTGCCTAAACAAAACCATGGAAACGGTAATTGTGCTTTAGTCCCCACCAACAGATATTGTAGGAAATGTTAACCGCGAACCTTTTGGAGATCATCAAGAACATTTCCACATTATGTTGATAAAAACAAAACAGAGTTGCATCACGTTACTTATCAACCTTTGTTGTTAATTAGCGGCGTGTATATAAACGTAAAGCCGGAGCTGCTCGTTACTATTTAACATTCAACACAAGATAAAAAATAAATAAAAAAGCCTGACTTGTTTCTGGTGGAGTTTTGCATTAATAAAACAATGTGGCTGAACCTGTGGAGAAGCATGTGACCCTTTGTGGGCTTCTCAAGCTTTTAGTCTTCCGTTACATCTAAACTTGTGGATTTTAACATTCTACCCGGGATTGTTAATGGAACATTGTGATATTACTACTTGCACATATAAAAGCTCTCCTTTGTCAGGTTATTTATGGTTATTTATATACTTGTATGTTGTACAAGGGAAAATATTGCGCCCTGAAGCACATTCACCATGGGAATCTTCTTTGTAATGCCTCATAAAATCTTTAAAAGGGGGGGAGAAGATAAAATGTGGTGCAGCACGTCGAAGGCCGGCCTGTCTGACAGCTGATGGAAAAGCCTCCCCTCCTCCCACTAATATACCGATAAGTGCTAGTAGTATGGTGGTGGTCTGTGTTTCTTATTGTCAGCAAATCCCACGAAAAGACCAAAACCAACAACATGTTTGTCTGTCTCATCTGACTTCCTGTCTGTGGCTCTCAGCTCCGAGCCCATCGGTTCCTACTGAAGACATAGATCTTTAAAGAACAGCTCACACATCAGTAAAATATAGAAATGTCACCAGACGTATTGCCTCACTAAATGAATTCAGAGTGTGTATATTCTCACACTTAAGCTTTTAGGACTGGATACAAGATGAATAGTTGTTAAAGGCCCTAAACCTATTTTCTCAGGCGGTTTCTTGCTGTGAGTGCTGGAATCCTGCATGAACACACTATTTTCTCCAAACAGTTCAGTTCGCGGGATGTTTTTTCTGGGTCACTGTCAGTCAAATCTGATCCTGTTGATGATTAACTGAAGTTTAAGAGTTGATAAATAACCCCTAAAGAGATTTTTGTGACTTGATTACTCACATAGGAGAAACATTTAAAGTTTAAATACTTTTTTTAGGTGGCTTTAAAGCCCCTGGTATTTGTCGGAGTTGACAGATGCACCTTCGGTCTGCTCTCTTGTCTTTCTTGTGTTAACATGACAAATGTTCCTCCTCCTCCTACTCAGGGTGCCCCCGGCAGCAAAGGTCCCCGAGGTGAAAGAGGAGAGGCCGGTTCTCCTGTAAGTACCCTTTTCTCATTTTAAAACTTGACTGAGCTGGATCAGACTATCAGCCCTCAATGAAAACAAAAGATTGTTTAAAGTAGAAAAGCTTTGAAGAGGGTCAGAACATCTGATTCCACTTATTGAATGTGTGTTTTTGCCTTTTTCCCCTCCCTGATACGAAGGGAAGGTTCGGTCCGATCCGAGCGGCAGCATTCCTCACCTCCTGTTGGATGTACTTAAACTGGGCCGAGAGAGATCCAGCAACAAATTCCTCCTGTGTTTAAATATTTCTTATCCAACCTTTCTTTTATTTACTTACAGGGGCCGATCGGCCCGCGTGGAGATAACGGACCACCGGGGCCCATGGGTCTGCCCGGTCCTCAAGGACCCAGCGGGCTGTCGATTCCAGGAGAGGCAGTAAGTCTATAAACACACCTGACTCCCTGCTCTGAGCCACACGGGTGATGTCTTTTTTTCAGCAACTGAACATAAATCCCAGGATGCGTCGGCACACGGGAGCGGGGATTATTTGATTTATTGTGAAGGGAATTTACAAGCTGGGGAGTATCTGTGGCAGAGATTCACATTCCTTCATGTCTGAGGGGAAGACGTGATACCAGAGAGAACCGAGACCTCAGTATCACGGGATGTTCATAAATCCTCTCTAGAAAGGTCGCACAAGATGGAAGCGGTAAAGTACTGTCCTTAAGTATCTGTACTGCCCCTGAGTATTTCCATTACGGACGACTGTCTACTCTGTACTCCACTGCATAAATTTAACAGCTGTAGCTACTTGTTACTTTGCAGATTGAGATTTTAACAAGCGGAAACCTCCGTGGTTGATAAATGAAGCCCAAAAAAAAAAAAATGAAGTGCCAAAAACTGCAGTTCCTTGAACGGCCACTTAAGACCGGCTCCAAGAGCGAGTCAACCCCCATAGACCCCGTGTTAAAATGCCCAAAATGCAGAAATAAGCATGTTTACAGCCTGGTCTCTCTAGCTAATCTCACCATCCATGACAACTGTGCGGGTTATAAATTTCTTTTTATAACTCACCTGTTCAAGTGTCCAAGATTTAGAGGACGATATCTGGAATAAATAATACAAATAAGAATTTGCAACCAGCAGCACTCTATAACTTATAATAGTTTATAATAAAACATCCAACCTGGCATGAAAAACATGATGCGTCTCAGGTGATGCAGGATGATCTTGAGAGAACGCCACGTTAGAGTTGAGGGTCACATGTAGAGCTGCAAGGATGAATCCATTAAATTAATTTACACCCATTTTGATTATATATTAATCAGTTAGTAAATGTGAACATGTCCTGGGTTCTTTCCTCCTATGTGACAGTAATCTAAATGTCTTTGGGTTGTGGACAAATTAAAGACATTTGAGGGCGTCGCTTTGGGAAACACTGCCAATGTTTTTGTCTTACATTTCATAGACCAAACAACTAATAGATTAATCCAGAAAATAATAGACAGATTAATCGACACTGAAAGATAATAGATTACTTTTTGGCATCCTAGGCTAATGTTAATGTTACTGCCTTCTGATTGAAAATGTCATCAGAGCCTGTCGAAGCTTGTTTGCAGCAGTGGTAGCTCAGGTGACCTTCGACTGAAGCAATGTTGCTCTGCGACCTTTCCTTAGCAGAAAAGAGCTTTCTGATGGGAACTTTTAGACAACAGGACGACGCAGAGAAAGAGGTGATCTTTTAACTTTTTTTCCTCAAGGAGTGTGGCCAAACTACACAGACGCCATTTACACCTGCCATTAACATGGAGTCTGGATCTGGATAAGAAAGAATACAGGTGTAAACGCAGTCTGTACATTTTGACTTTAACGAAACAAATCCCGCCCAGAGATTGGGGGGAAAGAAAAAAATCACTTTGCTCTGCTTGCTAGCAGCAAAAGTCTAGCAAGTCTTGAATGTGAAAGTGGAAGTGGGGTCATTAGAGGATCCATATAAAACCATGAAGTAGTATGAAAAAGATAATGTGACAAGCAAATGAGAACGCACGGCAGAGAGTTTTTATATGTTGGTGTTTTGTAACATGTTTCTTCTGAATGTCGTGTTACGGATCTCTTCAGTGTTCGTTCATGTTGTTGTTGTTTTTTCTGCCTTTAGGGCCGCCCTGGACCAAAGGGAGACCCCGGTGACTCTGGATTACCTGGACAGAAAGTAAGTGCAGCTCTGGCCTGAAAAAGGGTTTTGGGGATTTTAAACAGGAAACGGGGATAATTCACACTTTGACTACTACTCTGGCGTGTGGCCGGACCCTGACGGGTTTCCAGCTGGGGAGGATTCAGAGAAAAGAGAAAGGGGAGTCCAGCTCTCTGCACAAGGTTTAGGAATATTACTTTTAAATTAAATTTCTGCAGAGAACGAGCCAAGAACAAGTCACCTTGATTAACAGCGTTGGTTAAGTGTTGGCCTGCGGTCAGCGGCTACATCCTCCTCTTAATGCAAGTTGTTTTATCTGAGAATATACGAGGAGCTGCGGTCCAACCTGAGATATCCAGGGCTAGGAAGAGAAAAATGACACCTAAGCTTATAAAGCAAGACTTGGCCTGAAAGTAAAGAACATCACGGGTCACTGTTGAAGCATTGAGTCATCCTAAGTGATTAATACGAGGAGCTGTTTCGATTTCTTCCTGAAGTGAAGGCCCTCATATGTAAGGTTCCTCCAGTTACTTTAAAGCTTTTCTCTCCCACCAGCACCTTTTTTTTTATATACCTGAATACTGCAGCATCAGTCAGGACGTTGCATGCCAGTGTTGGACGGTTTGAGATTCCTAGACTTCCTGATAGAAGTATCACATGTTTAACGAAGAATGACGAAAACAAATCAAGTTCTCAAATACTCGGTGCTTTGTCTGACCGGTCTCCTCACGCACAGCCTAAGGTCGGGTCACATTAGGATTTCATTGCAGTTGAGGTCACAAGAGGGCAAACGAAATGCCGCAGGGACTGAAAAAAGAAACCTCTTGTCAGTTACTTCCTGTCACTTTAAGCCTTGAGATCCCTCAGTGGAGATCTGCCCAATTAAATCTGTTAACAGCTGCACTCACAGGTAAATACTAAGTGCCCTCCTCTGACCTGTGGAGTCATGTTTGTTTTACTTACTTAATTTAAACCTTGGGGTTTTTTGTTTTTTTTTGCATAGCTGTTTTACATCCTGCTAAAAGATTTCTTAAAAGCAGAACGGCAGTAGAGATGAATGTAAAGAATAACGGAGGTTCAGAGTGCAGGTTGGTGCGCCATTAACGCCCAAACACGATCTACTCGGATGTGACTGACAGTTGCTCTGCCTCAACTCAAATAGAGAGCAGCTTCTCTAACGTCAGCGGAAATGATTATAATTTTATTAAATATAAAAAGTTGTCTGGAAAAACTATAGCGTAGCCGGAGACAGGAATTTCTGCCTGTCGAACAAGCGGTTTTGGTTTGAAAGCCCTCAATTGGTTCAACTTTCCTCTGCGTCTGTGTTATTTTGGTTTGACTGATGTCTTTATGCGTCGTCCAGCTGGAAACAGAAGAAGACACTCGTGCCTGTTAGTCAGGTGAAGGATGACAAAATAGACTTTCAGACAGCTTTCAGTAGAATAATGACTAGTTAGTCCGTATGAGGTGCTTTGTGTGACCGGTCTCCTCCAGCACAGCTTAAGGTCAGGTCACATTCAGGATTTGATCGCAGCTGAGGTCATGAGAGGGCAAACAAAATGCTGCAGGGACTGAAAACTAACCCCTCCACTCAGTTTCCTTCTGTCACTTTAAGCCCAGAAATCCCTCTGTGGAGATCTGCGTCATTAAATCTGTTTACAGCCGCAGTCAACAGGAAAATACTATAAGTCGCCCCCCTGAACTCCTCTGACCTGTGGAGTCATGTTTGTTTGACTTCCTTAATTTCAACCTTTGTGGATTTCGAAAGAATCCCCTTTTAATGAAGAAGCTTTTCATTCTTGGATGGATAAAAAAAAAGAGATCTCTTTTCTTTACATCCAGCAGGTTGGATATTAAATAGCTTGAAGACTTCTTAAAAGCAGATGTTCAGAGTGCAGGTTAGTGAGCCATCAATGCCAGAACACCGTCTAGTCAAATGTGACAAAAAAAAAATCCTAATTTAGGGTTTCCCCAGACACTGTGCAGCCTCGTCTGAAATAAGGAGCACGTTCTCCAACATCAGAGGAAATAATTACGCTTTTATGAAATATATAAGGCGTCAACCTTGGCCAGGAACCCATTAGATGTGCTCCTGAGAGATCAACCTATCTGTGGTCAAGGTTCAATTTAAGTGTAATTGCACAGCCTGGTGGAAGATTATAGTTGGAAAGCCTGAGAGAGAGAGGGGTGCACTTAAGTGCTTGCACTTTGTTTGGCTATTTCCATTTCTGATTTTACTGTGCAGATCAAGGCATGACAACTTCAAGACCCCGTCTTTACCTGGTGCTGGAGGAGGTCAGCGTGTTTAGTTTCGGTGACACAACGCAGCAGCTCTCTCTGCATGTCAGACAGGCAGAATCTGTGTTTGTGTAACAGTTATTTTGGTTTGACTGATGTCTTTATGCGGTCGGGCAGGCTTCATAATGTTACAGCCATAACCAGGAAAATAAAAGGTTATTGGTGCCACCTATTGAGGTTTCACCAGTTAGTCTAACAGACTGGAAGAATTTGACCTTCCTGCTGATTCAGAGGGACCTTTAGGGACAAAGAGTTTGTTTACAAGGATCAAGCCTGTGAGCTCTCAGATAGGAGGCTGTAGCCCCTCCCTCCCTGCAGAGCTGCACACTGTGGAGTCATGGTTAAGACTGATTAATCAGCTCTTTATTCAAACAAACCCTCAGACTGGATCTCCACGTGGATGGCGCTGATGGAGCGGGCAGTGCTGCAGGTGACCATGCTGGAGCGGATGCTATGGCAACATGCATTTAATGACTTGCAGACCAAGCGGGTCCTGGTTTATAATGGCCAATAAAACTGATCTGGAATATATTACGTCCCCTGTAAATCTTATGCAAAGGCATCAAAGACCAGAGAGGATTGGCAGTAAAAATAGTGAGCAGGGTTTCTGAGCAAATGAGCGCAAAAAGGAGATTTACTGTGGACAGGCAGAAATGCGGCGCTGAAACAAACCGGTTTGTTCGGTCGGAGCAAAGGTGATCTTTTTTTAGTTAAGCAGGAAGGTGAAACGGGCTTTGAGTTGTTTTCTTGCATGTTTGCAGGGTTCACCTGGAACTCCTGGTGCCGCCGGCCCGATCGGACCAGCTGGAGTTAGGGTGAGTACGGACAGGCTGGTTTTAATGGCAACCATGCTCTCTGGATTCCTTAAACATAAACAGTATCTGCACCGTTTTTCACTCTTTATCTCGTATTTCCAGGGCCCTCCAGGAAAAGAAGGACCAGCTGGACCCAGAGGCCCCGCAGGGCCCATGGTAAGAGTTTTTAATGGTTTGTTGGGAGTTCAAGCTTTGACGCGTGTACACCTGGGAGCTGCTTCCTGCGCTGTTGGCCGGTCTGTTTGCACGTAAACCCGGCTGAAGCGATTTACTAAGCATTTAAGTGCCTTGCTCAATGACGAATAGTTTCAGAGAGGAGAAACGTGACTTGTTTATTTTCTCCACCCAGATTTTAACAAGCTGAACTCAAATGATCTGATTCTCGATTTTAACAAGACGGATGATTTTCAAGATCTGTAAAGGGCTTTGATGTTTGTTCATCCTTTTTTTTGTGATTCATTAGGGGATTTTTTTATTGAATGTGATAACAATTATATCCAAACTGTTGTTTTCTGGCTTGGTCTTCTGACCCAGTGGTTTTCTGTTTCCTTACAGGGACCTCCAGGATCTCCAGGACTACAAGGTGCTGCAGGAAACCCAGGAAACCCTGGAGAATCTGGCTCTCCTGTGAGTGTCCTCACTGCCATGCCGTCTTTGTGGGACTTGAAATGGGTTTTTTTCCAGACACTAAACGGATCTGATTTTCTGTTTTTAGGGTTCTGTCGGTCAAAAGGGAGACAAGGGCGAGAGAGTGAGTAAACTTTAAATTCTTTCAAACATCTTAGAAGCTAAAGAACGTCATACATAACAACAAGTTTTAATCTGAAGTGAGGACCTACTTGAAGAAGCTACGGCAAGAAAACGAGTCATTCGGGATATAAATACCTTGTGGCCCAATGTGGCAAAAAACATGTTCCTGTTTCAGTGTTGAGTTTTAAGATAACAAGACAGATTTATCTGATTGTTT